TATCTCCACGTTTTAAGGTCCCCAGAGTCGAATACGATCGTTTTTCAGTGGACGTCTGTGTGTGTGTATGTATGTATGTGCGTATGTGCGTATGTACGTATGTGCGTTCAAAATTATTTTTCGCCTCGATTATCTCGAGAACAAAAAATGATATCGATGTGGGACCAATTGCATTTGACGCGTAATCATGTAACTTAAAATTGATTAGATTTTCAGCGAAATCGGTCTAGCCATTTTTTTTGCAGATCCAAAAAACGAGCAAAAATGGAAAATGACCGGAATTTCTTACTTTATAAATTATACCTTTTTTTTTAGACAAAATTTCGAAATCTTTAAAAAAATATGAATATTGAATGATTAGAATACTTGAAAATATGAAAATATGATAACAATATTTCATCAGAAAAAAAAATTTTTCAAAACAAAATCACCAATATAAGAATTTTAAACTCGTGTCAGGATTGAGCAAACAGCATTAAAGACGCTATAACAGTCAATAATAATTGTCAATAATATGGAATTGTGTCCATAACAATTGAACATTGTTACTAAGAAGTGATTATTGATCATAGCAATATTTAAATAACAAATTTTAAATTCGTATAAATAATAATAATAGAAATCTATGCAATATATTCGAATTCTTCCAACGCGTAATGACATGAATGGAAACATACTTTATCCGTTTATAACAATGAAATTTGTTGTAAATAATGATAAAAAGGATCTATGAGGTATGTTTGAATTCTTCTAACGCACGATTTTTTCTTTTACTGAAATGAAGTAACTAACCGCATCAAATGAATAAAAACACACTCATTCCGTTCATAACAATTCCATTTGTTATAAAAAATAGAAACGGGTTTCATCCGAGTCGTTTTTTCATTTTCTTCACTGGGAAGTTGGTCGTGTGGACCTTCCGGGTCGCACCCAGACCACTGCAGAGCACTGATATTTAAATCTACGTTTTAATAGTGAATACATGAAAAAATGGTTTAATAACGTTAAATGTTATCATAAATGTACTTTTGTAAATACAATCATTCATAACTTTTTTGCAGAGCTTAAGTTTATGAATTTTTTTTTTTATCATTTACACAAAAAAAAACGAATATTTTAAAAGAAAATCATATAAAAATATATGTTTTTTTTTACAAATGAAATATTATTGTTTTCTAAAATCAACTTTTTTATTTAACTCGACCCCGACTAGAATTTAATGGAGGACATGCCTAATGTTATGTGCGGGCCTTGGAAGGTAAATGTTCGGTAAGCCGAGATCAGACTTGCCCTATGAATACCTTATGTTGTATAATAGGGCAGTATAAAGTATACCACAATTAGATCTGCCTCATGAATACCTCGTAAGGTCGTAAGGTCCTTATACAAAAAATTTAAGGCAGTCCGGACGTACATAGAAATGAAATTTTCATTAAGGAAACCTTATGAGGTCCTCACTTGGAAAATAAGGTGCTTACCCCGTTAGGTATTTTTAAATAATTTCTCATGAGGCCTATACATATAAAATGTAAGGCGCTCCGCAAGCATACTAAGATGAGGTTTTCATCAGAGAAATCTTATGAGATCTTTACTTCGAGAATGAGGTGTTTACCCCGTTAGGTATTTTTGGGTAATTATTTAAGAAACCTGAATATAAAAAAAGTATAGCTTATTTTAAGAGAATATCAGAATAACATTTTTAAACTAAAATGTTACATAATATACAAGGATATGTTTTCACATTGTACGTATCATAATATAATATATTATAAATAATATGATAAGGGCGATTACTTTCAATTTTTGAAATCAATATATACATATAAATATATCTATTGAATATTGTAAGGAAACAACATTTATACAGCACATCTTTTGGAAACGTTGCAAATCGAGAGGGGGGAGGGGGGTTTCGCGTCTCCTGTCCCCAAGGAATTCGTAGGGCATATTTTTATATATATATATACGTGTAAGCGAAAGTTTGGTGACTTTTTTTGTATGTTAAATCTGATGCAAGAAAAGTATTCTCTGGGGTCACTTGAGTACCTGGAAAGCGTCACTTTAATATAAGCCTGATAGTTAAGTCAGGACATCATGATTAGTACTCATACGGAAGTTTGGTGACTGTCACCAAATGTCGAGGACAGTTGAAAAGTATGCACAAATGAAGAATCATTGATATCCATCGATAAAAGAAACTTTCAAATCCGAAATTGATGTAGATACAATTAATAAGGAGGAATATCTGTTACGCAAGTCAAATAAATAATCAATTTTTGTACTATTTAAAATTTATCAAAGCGTTTTATCCTATCAAGATGATTTTTTTTTGTTATCGTTGATAGAAATGAGACTAGAGTGTCTGCCTGTCTGTCCGGGGTAATCTCGGCAATGGCTAAACCGCCCGAGTAGAAAATAAGTCGGGTTGGAATCCGGTCCGGATCTGGCATCCCAGCTTCCCTACCAGGGCTCAAGAAGGTAAATCTGATCAGGTCCGGATCCTAAATGTAACCCCTCAAATAGTCCGGTCCAGATCAGGCTACCTTACATGGCCCTGGCCAGGGCACCCTATGTGGTCCTGTCCAGGTTAACCTATATGGGGCAGATCAGGGCGCATTGTATGGTCCTGACTAGAATAACAATTTGTAGAGATATATTATAAGAACTTTTTTATTTACTTTAACTGATACATATATTATTTAATATTAACTTAATGACCATTAAATAAATGAAAACTCATTACTCTTTAGGCTTATTTGAAGCATTATTACGCTTTGAACGAAAACCATCCCAATCACGTGCATTATTAAAGACGTGTCCGATGGTGTCATAAAAAGATTGAACTTTGAAGCTTCCCGCCTCCGCACATTTATTATATTCTGCTTCAACAGCTTCTACAATAAGAAGATCAGATATTACGTGTGTACAGTACATGTATGGATTTGATGTATATAAAATAAATGATTATTATAAACAAGTTACATACGTTGTAGACAAGAGCAAAATTTTGTGTCTTTGAAAACAGGCTTATTCTTTGTTTTTCGGACAACAGTAAATTGCATGACAACATCCTGAGTAAAATATTTTCCTATTACTAGTTTAATGCTTCTCGATAATTTGTCCTGAATATTTATGAATGTTGAAATCTGGGAGACCTACGAATAATGAAAACAATTTGGTACAAGCAATATTTATTATCTTTTATAGCTAATTATCAAAAAACTTACGACATAAGGACGAAGATTTTCCTCATTTTTTAATTTTTCGTCAAAAATTAGAAAGTCCTCCATATTAGCAAAAGGAATGGGAATATTAATCCTTGGTGATTCTATTCTCTGCCTAGTGCCATGAGAACTCGATAATATTATTTTCTTCAAGAATGTGACCTCCTGTTTAAGATTCACTATCTCATGCTGGACAGTTCCAATTTGATAACGCAACTTTGAAAATAAATCGTTTAAGTGTAACAATAATTCGTCCATTCCTGCAACAGCACATGAAAAAAAGGGATAAAATCGTATGTATAATAAGATTTACTTTAAATGTAAAGAAGTGTTGATAAATTAAAAATACTATACCTGATAAGTGCTGACTTTCCAATGATTGCTGTGGTATTTCTATGTTCTTGGATAAATCATCTTCCCTAGAGAAAGTCATTTGCTCTAGTGTTTCTCCTGGATTATTTTCTAATGATGAATTGTTATAACTGCATGCATCAGACAGGTCTGGTTATTGAGCTGTTAATAAAGAAAAAGACAATAGTTTGTATTTTGACCAGCGTATACTTTAAAAGTTGATAAAATTTTATTTAAATTTTAAATAAACTAACTTTTTAATTGTAAGGTTATAATTAGAATATTTTTCATCAGAGTTTCAATTATGATAATTGGTAATGTAGTGTTTTCATGCTTGATATAAAACATACTTAATGAAAAATTATTAATAAATTCTAGCTCTAATACCTGATGACTTCTGAAGCTTGGACGATTTAGATCGCGTTCCTGAGTTTTTCATTTCAGCTCCCGTCTTAGTCGTCTCTTGTCGACCTGCTTGTGTTGGATTCTCTTCTGATAATAAACTGACATCACTAGATGAACTAGACATACTCTGTTGCTGAGCTGTTGAAACAGATTTTTTTTTAATTATAAATAGTAAACTAACTTTTTGATTGTAAGGTTATAATTTTGAATATTTTTTACCAGAGCTTTAATTATGATAATCGGTAATGTATTGTTTTCATGCTTGACATAAAATTTAGTTAATAAAAAATTATTAATAAATTCTAGCTCTAATACCTGATGATTTCTGAGGTTTGGATGATTTAGGTCGCGTTCCTGAGTTTTTCGTTTCACCTTTGTTCTCAGTAGTTTCTTGTCGACCTGCTCGTTTTGGATTTTTCTGGTCTGAAATCTTTTCTTGAAGAACTGTAAATCAATATGTCGTCGTTATGCACGTATCTTCAATTCAATTAAATAAAAACTTAATCATATTATCTTAACTGCTGTCCAAATTCTACACTTTAATATTTTATATGAAATTTTATTCACTTGATAGTGTCTCATGTGCTTGAAGCGGTTTATCCAATGCTGCAGCACTCTGACATAATAATTCCGTAACATTAGATTTTTGTGATGGTCCTCGCCTGCGAACTTCGTTTTTTATCTCTTCTTTTCTTTCCTTTACGTGTTTTTCATCATCCGTCGTAAATACATATGGATGTAGTTGCAGTTTATCAATTTTTTTCAGTGCTTCCTCGTACGTATCTAATATGAAAATAATATTAGAAAAAATTTCTTACACTAATGATATATGAATAATTTAACTTTTATGTGAAACTTACGTGCATCTCCTCTGATATCCACTTCGAATGTTTCCCATGTATTTTTTGGCGGCATTTGATTTTTGATTAACTGGTGCAATAATTGTATTTCTTCTGGATCAGGGTCATCTTCAATAAATGGGCAATACATTTTATCCTTCCCATCTCGAAACAGCCAGCTTGTAGGAACTATATCAATTTTCTTGCTTTTATCACCATTATCTTCTGTGTTATCAATGAATAGCACCAACGTGTATGCTTTATTTTGTGTCGTTGAATATTCCATTGTCTTATTCACTGAACTTTTCAAGAAGCGGTGCGCAACTGACGATATTAACACAAAATAATCGAGATGAAATCGATGAGATCGAAATGTAAACATCGAGTTTGAAACCACTGTACGGTAATGCACGCAAGAAACAACAACGCAAAGTCCGTTGAATGTTTTGTCACGCACACACATATTATTGTTACTATATACAGAACCCGAGTTCACACATATGGTCTCGCTATTCTTCCACGTATTTTGTTTTGAAAAACTGACAAATAAACATCACACAAACGAAAACACGACAACCTCAACGAATAAATTCTATAACATTAAAATTATATGTTCTTAAATATACATATATACATAATAATTATAAGTTTCTATTTCATTTTGTAATTTCTATAATTCATATAATTTAAATATAGAGGAGTGGGAATGTGTATATTTTTTCCTGCTCGCCTATCTCAATGACAAGAGTTACCATTTTATTCACAATTCTATCTATTGAAAACGTGGTACTTCTATTTTCTTTCTTAATTCTCCATATTCCTAAAGCTGCCGATGTACAAGGAAAAGTAAATACAGGTTTTATTTTTTTAAAGTGTGTTCCAGAAATTTTGATGTCTTTTCCATCTGATGTAGCTTCTATTGTTTGCAGTTGTAAAATATCACCATTGTCCAAAATGACTGTATTATCTGCTTGATCTAAGGTTAAAATCATATTTGTGTATTTTAACTTTTTCACCACCATAATTTCTTTTTTTTTGTCTCTATAAGTAAAACTTAATATTTGTACATCAGACTGTAATTCAATACTTTCTACATTTGCGGTGAATTGTTCATGTAATCATCTGCATACCTGGGCTAAAGGCCGATTTCCGCTTCTTAACATCTTTTTGATTTTGCCCAAAGTATTTTCAAATGCAAATGCAGTAAAATTACTGATCGATGACTGAAAGTATTTGGCATCATCAGCCAAGTGAATGAGAGAGTGCATCATTAAAACAAAATTTTGCGGTCCATATAATGATCCAGATAATAATACAAAGCATGTTAAAAAAAGTTTAGCATGGTCATTACACTCCAGTGCTAAGTTGGACGATAAAATTCGACAACCAACATGCAATAAGAGAAAATGTTGATATTGATTATCTGTTAAGCATGATTTCAGTACGATTGGTCCTACATATAATAAAAATAAACGGTATTCAGTAGCTTTATATTTTTGAATCTCGTTAATGTCCCTAGTTGTTCTTTGAAATTCAATTGGTATTTGACATTCTTAATTTATTAGCATTTGCGAAAGTCTCAGTTTATAAAAAGAACTTAATTTAAATGGAGATTTTTTACCAAGCCAAAGTTCAGTGAGGAGTTTTTTCATATTGCCTAAGCATCCTAAATGCATAAAACCTAAGGAAAACATGTTAATCATATCAATGTTCTTTAATTTTATGAGAGGTGCTATTCCAGTATGGTGATGTGCATTTTCTTGAGTGACAAACGATTCATAAGTTCTCAAAGTGCAATTTATTTTAGGATAGGTTGTACGATTCTGAACTCTTTCACCTTTTACTTTACACCTTTCACACGCAAAATAACCACCATGATTTTTAACACACTTTACCAAAGATCGAGCCGGTCTATCACAAATAAAGGCTTTAATAGAAACTTTAAAAATTTTATTATTAATATTTACTCTTTCACTTTGCAATTCATTCATTTCACAAATAAATTGTTCTAAATATCGTTCAATATCACAAGGTTTGGTATTACCGACATAAATAGCTACGATGAATGGTTTGTATCTGTATGATGTATGATAAATTTGACACAAAATCGGCCAGAACTGTTTCGATGAAGATTTGTATAGAGGAAGCCCATCAAAATTAAAAAGTAATTCTACTTGATCGTTGGAGTGAAGTGATAGATTTATATATTGAATTAAATGTATTTTCACTCCAAGATAAACAAATTCTGATGTTTCATCAAATGCTACATTATTATAATTTGAAGATAATGTTTTTAAAAAAGTTTTTGCTGACTTGGGCAGCTCTGGAAGTAACCGTTTCCTCAAGATGACTAACAATTCATCGATTTTATAATGAGCGAAATTTGATGAAATCGCCCATTGTCGAAGTTTTTCTACTTCATCAAATTCAGTATCAGAATCTAGTTCTTCCTCTGAAGTTAAATTTTCGTCGTGATAAATATCATTTGTATCATCATCATTCACATAATCATCTCCTATATCATCACTTACACTATCTTCGATTACATTAGTATGTAAATAATTATTGTAAATTTCGTAAAGACTTGAATCAGGTATTATAACATCACTTTCAGTAGTTAGTTCTAACTGTGGAGATTCTTCATAAACAACGTCCAATGTTTCACTTGAACTAGGCATATCAAATACAGAGTTAATTTCAATCATATTTTGACGCTGAGCATCATCTCCAATTACATTGGTACTTATACGAGCATAACTTTTGTAATTATAAAGACTTGAATCATGAATCATAAAATCACTTTCAGTAGCTTCCAGTTCTAAGTGTGAAGGTTCTTGATAAGAAATGTCCGATATTTCACCTTTGCTTACAGAAAGTATCTCAGAGGCAGAGTTACTTTTAATCATTTTTTGACGCTCACGAAATCTTTTAACTCTTAACCGAGTATTTTCAAGTTTTCGTTTTTGTTTGTCTGACTCCATTTTTTACTTTTAAACAAACAAATGTGTTCGAATAACTTGAAATCGTACTTAATAATTCAACGAGTCTTAAAGTAAGAAAAATTAAGGTTAAAAAACAGCGTGCGCCTATCATGAACGTCGACTCTCTACTATATTACTATTACTACTACTTTACCATATCATTATCATCGAAATGAATTTTCAGATCATCCATTATCTGGTCGTGTTTTTATTAACAAATTTAAAAAAAATGAAACATAAAATACGCAGATCGTGATGTTTTGAGCCTTCTCACACTCTGTCAATTTTTCTATAAACATATGGATCGTCAAGATTGCTTGTAAATTATTATAGATGTCGCACCTCTTTTGTTCGGCCGAACGCTTTTTAAAAATGATAATACTCTTAAATGATTGAGAAAGGCAGTCAAAGTTTATTATTATTCAACTATTCAAAGATTAGAAGTGACTAACAAAAATTTTTTAGAAAAAGTTTATTTTAGCGATTTCAATAAGACAATCAGCATTAAATAAGAATAAGTATTAGATTCCTTAAAGGATTTTGTAAAAAACAATAAAGTCAGGGTCAAATTGGGAAATGTAAGGGGTTCCTTGGAAAGGTTTAATAAGATAATAATATCAGGACCGGATTGGGATAGGTAAGGGATTTCGTAACAGGGTATTCCCTTTTAGTACCTGATAGGGACCATATATAAATACCGTATTACGGCATTCCATACTAGACCCTGATCCGGTCCGGATCATATTAGGGCATGCCCTTTTTCATTTCTACTCGGGCCGATTTCGATGAAACATTGCAGACATGAACAGAGAAATGTTAGGAGTGACATGGACTACTTTTTGTTTATGTGAAATGTTTATAACAATTAAATTTGTTATGAACAATAAAAAACGAGATCTATGCAATTTAGTCAAATTCTCTCAACGAAACATTTTTCCTCTTACTAGAAAAAGTTACACAGCATGTAACTTGCTTTGAAACTGATTCTTTGTATTTTTGACAATTGAATTTGTTATAAACAATGGAAAATGGGATTTATGCAAAGTATTAAAGTTCTTCCGACGGGAAATTTTCTCTTTTATTCAATAAAAGTTACTAACCATGTAAGATAAAGAAGAACAAATATTTCTTATTTATAACTATCAAATTTGTTATGAACAATTGAAAATGGGATCTATGCAATAAATTCGAGTTTCTTCACCGAAAAATTTTTTATTTTATCAGTACAAAGTTGCTAGCTCTGTTATATAAAAAGAAATGATCTCTTTTTGTTGACAACAATCAAATTTGATATGAAATGGTGCAAACGGGGGTCTATGCAATTTATTTGAGTTCTTCTGAGGGAAAACTTTTCCTTTAATTAAAAAAAATTTACTGACTACATAACATGAATAGAAACGAACTCTCTTTGTTAATACCAATTTACTTTGTTATAAAGAATTGAAAACGGATTCTAAGCATTGAATTCGACTTTTTTTACCATAAAATTTTTTCTTATCGAAAAGTAGTTACTTTGTATGTAAAATGCAGAAAAATGAATGTTTCTTTAAACAAAAGAAAAATCACAGAAAAACACAACAAATGTCAGATATACAGTTGAACACCATATAACATAATAAGTTCCGTTCTCCTAAAATCTGAGAGAAGCGGAATAACTGAGGAAATGTCAAAATTTGTTGCAGAAAATAGGTCTTTTATAAAAACTCGGTGATTGTCGCCAAACTTCCAAAATAATTCTGAAATCTATAAGAAAAAGATAAATTACAAAAAAACACGATCAATGTTAAATATACGGTTAACATCGTATAATATAATGAAAAGATTGAATCTTTTACATCGATCATGTCGGAGTGTTTATTCGCAATTCCACGATTATTGTTTTCGGCGAAGATTCGTAAGTGTTTGAAGGAAAGATAAATAGAGTAGTCATTCTTGCAATATTACTTCTTCTAAAAAGGAAAAGTATCGTTGAAAATTATTCATGATCGAGAAAAGCAGAAACATGACAACATACTTTTTTCAAACGATTTTATTTTCATTTAATTATACATTTTCGATGAGTAAAGTAATTTTCTAATAACATTTACATCACAATGGAGAATAATAAGTCATACTGCAAATCTGCAAGAAAAGTTTAAACATCTTTTACATTGTAATTGCATAATTTCTGTACGATCATTAGCAGAATGTTTACATTACGGCGACAATCACCGAGTTTTTATAAAAGACCTATTTCCTGCAACAAATTTTGACATTTCCTCAATTATTCCGCTTCTCTCAGATTCTAGGAGAACGGAACTTATTT